TTTTGGCTTCGGAATTAGATCGGAAAGGATCTACAGTGATCTTCAGCCCGGGATTTTCTTGACATAAGGAAACCCCAACTGTACGTACATAATTTCAAATCGATAATAATTGAATAATACATACTTTTTATTAGTAAATAATGAACTTGTTTTTTTAAATATGAAAGTATAATAATCCGGATTAATTAATTTTTTTTATTTTTTTTGAACCCTCGGATTAATTAATTTGAAAATTTTTTATATCCGAATTAAGAATTACATCCGGATGATATTTTCTTTAGCGGATCGAATCCCTAGGTTTGACTGTTATTTTTCTACGTATCACCTTTTACAATTTCATGTTATTGCCCTAAAAGGAAACTATTAACATTTTCAAAAAAAGAGAGCTTTATTAAAATAATCTTTAACATGCATCGCACGGGTTTAAAGACTTTAATTCTCTCTTGAATAAATTATTTATTTTAACAAGTATTAAACTTGTGTAGATAATTATTAAGACATTAAAAAATTAAAGCTAAAGTCCGAAATTTCGTATTATTATTATTATTGTATATTAAATTTTAAATCATAATACTTCATATATTGACAAATTTACAAAAATCTCTTTATGTGCATAATATTTATAAAATTCTACTAATACAACCAGTAATTTTGTCTATAGTGCTGTAGTGATGAACAAAATTTAAATATTAACTCATGCAGAAAAAAAAGTTAAACACAACAAAAATCTACTATGTATGTATGTATATACACATATATTAATAAAATAACTTAAAAGATACGTATATCAATCTTTTCCCCAACCTCTAATTTCAGGTACTGCCACATTCTTTCCCTTATAATTCACGATCCCACGAATGGACCGACCTGAGATCAGAGCAACAGGTTTTGCAATTGGAAATCCAGATAATGCTTTATATTGTTCTTCATTCCCTTCAATCAAAGGTTGATATCGTCCCATACAAAGTGGACACTTGTATTTTGTATCAGAAACTTCAACCAATTCTTGATACAATTCAGGCGTGAGGGCAGAGTCACACCTAGGGTGAATCCATCGATCGCATTGATCACAACAAATCATATCCTTGTCATCATCATTTTCTTGTTCATCCTCAGAGTATGTTTTGAGACATACAGGACAAAACCGATCTTCAAAGAAATTATCTTTACACTTGTAACAAATGGTTGCCAAATAAGTTGGAAAATTTGCAGTTTCTGGTTTTGCGTCAATATGATGATAATTATTTGCCGCATCATTTAGAGACGCAGCTTTCTCATCACATGAATCACATTGAGCACAAAGTGAACATAGCCAAGGACCTAAGATAAAAATATATTTATCATCAATTAGTTTAACATGAAATACATTATTTGGGAAAGAATAATTAGCAAATTTATACCTTGTGGTACTTCCGTTACTTTTGGTGAGCTGCAATCAAGATGCCAACCGCGATCACAATCATCACAAATTAGTAGCGTCGCTTCATCACCAGATGTTCGACAAACGACACACGTCTTACAATCATTACATAGCCATTTGTAACTTTCCATGGCTACCATAAGCCTTGGAGTGGTGAGAGAAAGACAAAGTGGGTGGTATTTGCGAAGACATTGGGAACATTTGATGGTATGATCATCTGAACATGGTGCACCGTTCGCGGGTGGCACGATTGTTGAGGGAAGAGTGACGGAAAAACATATTGCACAAACATTTTCCGGAATCGCGATAATATTCGAAGCAAAAGCTGGTACAACTCTGGAAGCCTCTGGAACTATATTTGGCTAATGTTGAATAATATGAGAAAAATTTTAGTACCCGTTTAGTTATACCATATTTGTTAAATATTGTAAACGAATAATAATAGATTACCGAGGTTGATTCAATGAAAGAAACCTCTGATTTAGGTTTTATAGCAGATTTTCCAGACGCATTGGAAGAATCTTTGTGATACATGCACCTTTCCCCATCAGCAGTTACAGCACGTCTACATGGCTGTCCAGTTGTAGCAGTTATGACTCCACAGATAAATTGAGGATTTGCTTTACTTGACGAGTACTGTGGTACAATTTTTCCGATGTGGTTCAGGTTCTAAAATATAAATTAATATTTTTTTTTTAAATAATGATGAGTGTATAAATAACAAATAAAAGATAATATTGTGCATACTTGATTAATTGATGATTGAGGTAAAATCGAAATTTTATTGTACGAATTGTAAAGTTGATCATCACTTGTAGCAGTTATTCGTAGAGGAGGGTTACTAGATGCTGAAGATGTTACTGTTTTGGAGGGATCATATTGGAATCTTGAACTATGCCTATGAAAAATAATATTATTAATAAGATTGTGTTAATTTACATTCTTTATAAACAGCGAAAAAAAAAAAAAAAAAAAGAAGATATATGCTTACAATGGGTATGAGGTTTGGAGCTGATTTCTTATTAATGCAATAGGATATTTATTCTCTTCTTCATGTAAAGCAATTTCTTCTTTCTCATTTAAGTCAACAACTATTTTCTTCGTATCCTCCGGTAAAACTTCCATAACCTCTGGTTTAAGTGTCCGAAATGGATTTACAGGAAGTGAATAAAACTTAATTTCTGGTTCTATAATTGTAGTAGATGTATTATTCCTTGCCGAAGAATATAATGGAAGCGGTGGTGATATCATTTCCACTCGAATTCGTGTTGATTGTGTATTAAAAGGGATTTGCTCAACGTTAGTATGAGGATCATAAAATTTAAGACTCTCATGCCGACACGTTTTCATTCGAGTGTTAAATTCTCTAGAAGAAAGCGCGAGCTGATACATCCAACTGTTTGGTTCGTTAATAATAATATGACTAGAATTGGAACGTCTTGGTAGGACTTTAATAGTGCTTTCCGCTTCTGAGTCTTTACCACTTGGATCATCATCAAAATTAATCGAAGATTCAAAATAATCATCTCGCCGCCGTTTACCACCCTGAACAATTCTTGAACCGAACATTTTAAAGATTGATCTTGCAGTTACAATAGCTATTGGTCTACTACGAAAAATTGTTGGTAAAATTCCTGTAGTAATGAGATAATCACGCTCTTCATCTGTTACAGTTATTCTTTTTAATGATTGATTTTTCGTAAAGAATAAATAACTATCACGAAATCCAAGAACTTTGGCAGGATCCATAGAACACATATACCAAGTGCTTCCACGAGTGGGCAATTGGAAAACTGGTACCTTATACTTTCGACCTATGTGGATATAACGAATTTTAAAATTTCATCTTTTTGCAATAGTAATATAATGTCTTTATTCAATCTTACCGCCAAGAAGTTCTCCGTCTTTTGTAATTTTTTGTTCTCCCTTTTCATCCAGTATTTCTTCATCTTGTTTCTCTTCTTTGGCTATCGTCTTGCTTTCTGATGGTCGCTGTTCATTATCAACCATCTGTTGCTGCTGTTGTTGTTGTGATTCATTAATAATTATCGTGTGCTGTGATTCATCGACAATTTCCATCAACTGCGCATCATTATTCTCTATCGTCTGTGTCCCTTCAGGTGTTTGGCTTTTCTCGACTTTTTTTGCTTTACCTTTAAAATTGAGTCGAATACGTTTTGGAGGGCTTGAATCAGTATCTACATTTTTACGTGGTCTACCTGGTTTACGTTTTAATTTCGGCAAATCATCCGAAGAATTATTTGAGTTTCCAAATCGCAATCGGATTATCGTGGGCACAACGACCGGCTGATCTATATCCATAGAATCGATTGTCTGTGATCCTTCAACAGATGAATCATCGGCGGGAGTCGATTCAGGCGGAGGTTGTGCTAATTTTCTCGCAGCTGCTCTAGTCGTTCTTGGTATTCTGGGAGCGCGATTTAGACTTGCCCCGCGTCTTGGCCGTGTTGCCGCGATAGTGGATGAGGTTTCACCTATAAGTTAATAACGTTCAAATGTTATATGTAACATTTTTGACCTAATCTTAATTTTTGTTGTCATTTATCACTATTATATTATTATATTTTTTTGTAAAATACAGATTTACCACTGCCCTAATTTCAAACTGTTTTCATTCCTCGCAAGAATTCTAATTTTTGAATGCATTTTCTTCCAGTTAAATTAAAAAAAAATGGGGCTTACCTCCTGTGCTCATTTGTAATTTGCCTTAGATTTTGACCTTTAGGTTGCAACTCAAAATTTCTAATATCGTAAAACATTCACATATACTACTAGATTTAGACACTTTGTAGAAGATTTTCTTTAACGTTAAGGCTTATTATGTTCAATATACCAGATACATTTCCTATCCAATAACATTTCGACCAATAAAATTATTTTTTTGCCACGTGTATAATTTTTGAAAATCATGATTATAAGCCAATCAAAATCACGATTTCAGCCAAACTCTAACTGCTAATCCTATTTCGGAAATGAGATTAATATATGAGGGAAAGTCAATACAAGTCAAACTCGTTATAGTGAACTCTCGTTATAGTGAAGATTCAATATAGTGAAGAATTTTGAATTCCAGAATTATTAAAATTCAGTTCGATATAGTGAAGTACATATAGTATTCTCTCGATATAAGCTATAGTGAAGATTTTTTTCCTCAGCCCGATGACTTCACTATAATGAGTTTGACTTGTAGAAAACAAGCAAATTTTTCTATAGAATAAAAAATATTTTTGTTATATATAATTATTAAAATAAAAAATATTTGGTTTAATAATTGTTAAGTTATTCTTGACTTCCCCATATACCTAATTCTGATTATAAAGAAACAGTTCAAGACATTACAATGTCGATACGGTGAGTTATGCCGACATTTTATATTAGAATGTTGAAAAAAATAGATATGACATAAATATGATGTTATAATCAGATATCTCAGATATCTTTATAACAATAAAAAATTCTGGCCAAGTTTTGTAAATCATGGTCAAAAAATCTTTTCTATCTGCTTTTCATACAATAAATTAGTCCACTTATAAAAAATTTTCGAGATCCAGGCAATATTTTAAACATAATTGTAAAGATTTATGTTGTTGTTTTGTATTGTTTCTTTACCATCTAGCTGTGTCACTGAATTCATTAAACCAGCTCCTCCCTCACCAATAATTTGAATGTCATCTATCTTCATATTCTTTAATAACATATACATTATAATTTATATCCATGGGTCACATGTTAGGCACCAGGCTAACAAATAGTCACAATTTCTATATGTTCCATAATTTATAACTCTTTTCAGAGTGAAATTTATCAAATTCTACCATATATATTCTTATTTACTTATCTCCGGCGAACCTGCGCCGGGCAGTACGAAGCTTATAAAGATCATAAATTTTACTATTTGATATCAAATTCTGTCCAAGTTGTACACTGCCTCAAAGGTGAATAATATAAAAGTATAACTTTTTTTTTCTTATTTCCTTTATCGAGTTATTCTTAACTATAATCATAGTGATGTAACTATCAAATTTCCCGAAAAACTGAGGCACAAGGCACTTGATAACATATGCAGTAAACGTGTAATAACGAGTATTATCTATCTTGTATGGAAATTTTATAATCGTTAGTGCGTTGCTTTGACAATTAATAAATTATACCTTTAATTCAGTCTTCTCACTGAAAGCTTATTCGGTCATAAATTGAAGGGAATTATTATAGAGTTGTATTCTTATGTGCCCTTACCTCGCATACAGTGTTTAAAAATTTGACGTTCTCAATGTTTTCAGAGAACATTACACAAATTATGGAAATAAATTATTAAAATATATTCTCTATTTAAGGACACTTTTTAATATTAAAAAAAAATTTTTATTTTCCTATATAAAAACATAAATCCAAATATGAATTTTAAATACTAGTTGTAACCAACCACTCTCAAGTTACTGGTACATCTTTAAACAACTTTAACAGACTAATAGAGGGGTTTGGTATCCGTGGTTATAATAAGTCTCTTACAAATTTTATAATTTTCAGTGATGGCCAACAAGTTCATACGCCACCTTCTACCACTATAATCATTCAAAGAGAAAAAATAAACATTATCAATATTACCACCATTATAATAAAGATTGAATGGTAAGTAATAAATTGGATGGATGTGATTCTTTAAAGAATAAATGTTATTTGCATTTCCTAACCCTATAATCAGAAATGTCACTATTAAAAAAGTACCATGTCCTATGGTGACTTTCATCCCATAGTGAAATAGGACAGAATGAAGTAAGCGATCCATATCCTTCATCTACTGAAAACAAATAGCTATCTTTACTAATTTATCAAACTTCACCGCGAAAAATATGGTTATTCATATTAGACTTTAATGAGCCCATCATGAAAAGCTTACGATTTGAGAAAGGTGAAATTAAAACTATCAATAAATCAAAAATATAAATAATTTAGAAAAAATTAATATAATCTAAAAATAAATATATTTCAAAACAAATACTTATCTACCTAAACGATCTTCGGTATCTTTCACGATTGACCCATTTTTCAATTCCACTATAAAAACAGTGTATAAACACGCACTAATCATACCGAAATCAATAACTTAAAGAATTCGGCCGAATAATCTTCAATCATCTTAATTCTTCGTTAAAAATTCCAAGTTATTCAAATATCTTAATAATTCTAAATTTTTCTCCTTTAACATATTAAAATTTGTTTGCAATACATTATAAGCAAACTAATTTAACGAGTGCTGAGAACGGAAACATTAAACTGGATTGTTTTAGGTGATGTAACAGCATATGAGCTTCCATTACAAGCACATGAGGTTTGCGAATTATATTAAGTGAGCTAATATACGTGTTGTAATAGTTTCGAAGGAATCACTTTTACATCTCCTTGAATGATGTTTAACTCGTTCATAAAATTTCCTGCTTCGTTTTGGGTGTTTAAATAAAAATAAATTATAATTAATAATGATATAAATTTTTTAAAATTACTTATGCCACTTATTTTATTATTACTTACTTACTTTTTTTAAAATATGAAACCATAGTTTATACTCAATTGTCGTTATTTAGTCGATAATGTTTATTAATAAATTCTGAAGATATAGTTTTTATTATAATATTTGGCCATGGTGTATTCTACAAATCAAAATATAAATTCAATTTTAAGAAACTTCAAAGCAAACAAAGAATAAAAAAGTACCTATCCGTCACTTCTGTTTGAAAAATCTACTATTACAATTGTATGAATATTGAGGAATTCCTTGAAACTTAAAACCATAATTGATTTTTTCAGGATTAGATTTTTTGCTAAAAAATCTTTTATATAAGTCGCTTTAAGCAATCAAATTATGAATTTCAATTAACAAGACCACGCTCTTTTATTATTAACTTAAGAAATCACCATACATTTTTTCAAAAATATTTTGGACTCTTCACCTTTGATGTCAGTAATAATAGTGTAATTGTTTATGATAAGACCAATTTTTTTGTAGTATTGCTTATTATTAAAAATTAATGTTATGTATCAGTTTGCGAGTATTTTTATAATTTTATTGTCAACAGGATCTACATCTATATATAGATAAAAAATTTTACTGTTTACTTGTTTTTGTTGGTGACGAATTATATGTTACTGTCCATAAAAATTTAAAAACAAGCACTGGCTTATATACCTATTTCTGAGTGGAAAATTTAAAATTGAAATTTATCTACCTTCAATGTATGTATATTTCATATTCAGTAATGGAAAGTGTAACTATTGTTAAAAATTTTATACTATATATAGTATTTAACCCAAAATTCAGAACGAAAATACTATCCTTCATATGTGGAAGGCTAGTTAAATATGATTTGTTGTGAAAAAACAAATCTAATTTATTTAACTTCATTAGAGGATTGAAAAGTATATTAAAGTAATATTATTATGTACTGTACGTATTTATCTTTTTGTAGAGAAATGACTACATATCAATGATTAAAATAAAAGTTTGTAGTATTTTAAAACAAACAATAAATAAATAAAGTTTTTTTTTTTTTTTTTTGCTACGCTAGAAGTTTAATGATTATTATAGACTAATAAAAGTATACACCAAAAGCCATGACTACACATATAATTGTTTCCTAATCACGAAATATCGAGTTAATTAGAGTTAAATAATGATATCGAACATGTAAGTTGACTACTAAATATATTTTTTTTTATTATGCTCCATTGATAATTGGTGATAATCAAAGGAGTTTAATAAAAAAAGAAACTTAGCAAAATAGCTAATTATAATAAAATACAAAATAGATTTACATACATTCTTAAAGACTTCTTGGGCGAAATTATCAGTATTATTATCCCATAAACCGTTAATTTGCATTCTAAAAAAGCAAATGATATGTTAATAAAATAAATTGATTAATAAATTAAAGATATATATGTATATATAATAATTATTTTTTGATTACCTAGCCCCAACTCCTTTATTTTCTAGTATAGTAACATTAACAACATATTTATATCTATTAAGATCTAAACCTATTTATGATATAAATTAAAAAAATTGTCATTAGATTCTTGTAACGTGGTAATTAATGTAAGTAGTGAAAATAAAATAAATAAATAAAATAGTAATCTAATAATTTTGCTTTAACTGCTTCTGATATTTCATGAGCCCACCCAGGAGCTTGATCTTTATCATAAATAGCTTTTTCTAATCTTTCTTTAAGAATAATTTGAATTTTTTGCTTTACTAATCGTGGATTAAACCTACAAATTTATTAATTTAATAAAGATGAATTGAAATCTTAAATTTTTGAGACTAAACTATATAAGTTAAAATACATACTTTTGAAGAAAACTTGGCCTGAAAGCTCCATCACTTTCTGAATCACGGCGTTCATGACCTATTGAGCTATAAATTTTTCCAGAAAGATACTAGTAAACCTTTCCATAACTCATTTTGTTAATAAAAACCTCAGTTTTCAATAGTGTAATTATAAAAAAAGAAAAAGGTTTATCATACGTTTTACTTAACGAAACAAAATTAAAATTTTCTATTATATTGGGTTTCTGTTACATAAGAACACACGTCCAAATTGTTACTTATATTGGTTAGTTTATTACCATTTATTTTAAACGTTTTTCTGCACGATACTGTATTACTACTTTACAATTAATTAGCGTCCTGGCACAAAAAAAAAAAAAAGTATTAATAAAATATAATTAAGTATTAAAATGACAACAAAAAGGTAGGCTTTATTATGTTGCTGAAAACCAAGTAATTATATTTTCATAATACCTGTGTTATTTTTTGTTGTATATCTTTCTAGGCCACTCTAAATTGATTCTTCATTTGACATAACATTAAGATAGTTCAGGGGAAGACATAATAATACACAAATTAAGTAAAAAAAAAACTATAACAATTCTATTGGTTATAAAAAGCTAATACTGCCAATTTGATTGGTTAATACAATATGTATTTTTTATAAAAATTTGGATGAAAAATAGAGGGAGAATTATGCTAAACAAAGAATTAAATTGGTCTAGCCTAAAGTTTTGATCCGAAACAAGTATAGCACCATTATGTCATGTGCAACAAAAACTTAAAACCTATAAATAAGCATATGCTTATATTATATGTATTAGCAAACTTTTTTTATTTTTTTTCTGTTGATTTACATAATTTATAAGGTATATTTGATTAATGATTAGATCGAATTTTGATACACCGATCCATAAATTACCAAAAAGGAACACGTGTAATCAGAATTTCTTTAGATTCCCAATTCAAGTTCTCAGAAGCAGTGTAAAATTCAATGTAGCATGTGCAGAGCGCACATAAAATTTATTATTATATATATGTATATATTATAAAATAAATACAATTATATACTTTTCAAGCCGAACTTTTTACACAACCTAGAAGTACTTTCCCAGATCCTATTATACTGGATTCTTCTTATTAGATGAGCAATTCTCAAAACATTTAATCGTATGAATATAAATAAAGGTTGGCAAATATACATTAAATAAATAAATAAATAAGAATTAAAATACATCATTACAAGTTTAGAAGATAAAATTTATTATCTATTTTCTAATATTGAACCCCAAAAAAATTTATTGGCACTCTAATCAATAATAACGCGTCTAACTTATTTCCCCCACAGGGCTTACACATCGATCTACATGTCCAGATCAAACATTGCCGGTAATTTCCTTATGAGGCAATTTTGCTATAAATCCGTAATGTTGGTCATACTAATGGTATGT